CACCCACTCATCCATCCATCCATTCAGCCACCCACTCACACACCCACTCATCTGTCCGTCCATCTGTCTGTCCATCCATCCATCCATCCATCCTCCCACTCAGCCATCCATCATCTACTTTCTGACTTGCCTACTTTTGCTCTTTCTTATTTGTACCATGAGATCTGCTCTGGGCTGGAGGAGGTAAGGGCAAACACCGCCCTGTCCTCAAGGAACCAGCACAGCATGGGAGAACATTTATCCTACTTTATCTGAAAGCTAGCTGCCAAGAGCCCTTGTCTGCCCCCTCCTTCTGTCAGACAGGGAGCCCCTGGACAGTTTGAGGGTGCGTCATCCATGCCTGTGTCCCTTGTGGCCTGTGGCATGGGGCCTGACATGTAGCTGGGGTGCTCAGGTGTGTGTTGAGTTGAACTGGCTTGGGTGGTGTGGTGCTGAGGGTTCAGACAACCCAGGTTAGTGGGACAGGTTTGGAAAAACTTAAGGAATGGTAGTCACAGGAATATGTTAAAACAGGACTTAGAGGACCTCTTGATGGAACCATTTGTTGGGCCCCTTTTCCCATCAGATTTTGGAATGGGGAGATGGGGGGACGGTCTCCTGTTCCTACCTCCTTGCCCTGTGTTATGCTCCTAGGTCTGAAATGTAGCCACACGTAATGTGTCCGTGGGGATCTCCACTTGACAACTGAACGAGGGCATGGAGGTTGGGGTCCAGACCCGCTCTCTCTGGGTGCCTGGGGGACCTCTGGACAGGACGCAGTGCCTGCAGGGCTCCTGGCCCTGGCTCATGGAGGTTCCTCAGAAGTTGTGCTGTCCCCTGCCCCTTTTACCCCCAGGCTGACCTCTCTGCTCTCACAAAGCTACCCTTTCCTTCCCTCCTTGAAATCTGATAATGAAACTAATACCCAATATTTTTGCCTCCAAGAGAAGCAGGAGATAAACAGGAAGGCATGAGGGATTAAGGTGTCCTTTTGAGGAAGGAGCTGGGGCCCAGCTGGGAGTGGGGTGACATCTTGCTGTGGAGCCGATGGACCCAGATGGGGATGCTTCGCCTGATGCATTTTTCCATTTGTGCAGAGAAAATAAAACACAGAGAAAAGAAAACAAGCCGTAAAATACTTCGCAGAAGCCTGAGCGTGGGCAATTGCCACTTGATGTCCCCTGACAGCTCCAAGAGGAGGTGGGAGGGAGGGGAGTCTCGCCTTTTGATGTTTGGCCTCTGAGCTTTCTTTTGTGTGACCGGTTGTTTGGGAAGAAACTTCTGTTGGTGTAAGGTGCATATGGAAGAAAGCAATCACCCAGGGGTCCCCCTTGGGGTAGGGAAGGGAGGTGCTGAACTCCCTGGAGGGGCTCAGAGTTTCAGGCAGCTTCTTTGGGGGGGGGGGTGGTGAGGGACAGCTGGCACTGTCTTTATGGAGGAGGACACGGTGAGCATCTGTCTCTGTGAAGGACCAGAAGATGCTGCTAGTGAGGCTCTTCCCAGTACAAGAGAGCCTTGAGGAAGCCAGACTTGAGTGATCTTTCCAGATGCTTGCACCTAGGCAGGTGTCCGAGGCCCCATGACTTCCGTGCCTGTAGGAAAGGTCCAGATTCTGCGCTGTAGTCCCTGCTGTTCCTTCCAGTAATGTGGGTCCTTTCCTCTGGGGTAGTGGGCCAGGAGCCAGAAGACCTGGGCTCTAGTCCTGGGCCCCCATTTACTGCCTTGGTCGTCCTGATAGGTCACTTCCTCCTGAGCAGCCCTGAGCATCCGAGTGGCTGAGTGAGTCCAGAGGGACAGTGGACGTGCGTATGTATGCATGATGGTCCCTTGTGCTGGGGCAGAGGCGAGGCTGATCCAGGGGCTGGAGGTGCTGAGGGACCCTTGGTGAGGCTCTCAGGAGTCCTTCCGTGGTCTAATTTGCCTTCCAGTTGCTTCCAGACTCAGGTGTGAACGGAACCTCTCTTGTGACCCCTCTCCCACAATGCCTCCCTATTAAGCCGTGTCCTCCTACCTCTCGCAAGAACATCTGAAGAAACTTGTAATGTCAGAGAGAAAAGTTAAAGAGGCGAATGTATATTTTTTTATCACAAAAGTAATACATGAATAAGAAGCTGGTACAGATTTATGCAGCTTGTATGGTAGAAAAGGCACATAGTTTTTAGTCCATCATTTATAAGAGCATTAGATGTTGTAAGAAAAAAAAAACACCTTATTTGAAAAGTGGGCAAATGGCATGAACAGGCAATGTGCAGGGGAAAAAAAAAAAAGAGAGAGAGAGTGAGAGAAATACAAAGAAAAACAAACACACGGAGAAATGTCCAACCTCACTGGTAATGAAAGACACACAAATTAAAATCGTGTGTGTGTGTGTTTTCCAGACAAATCAGCAGAGATGAAAAACAAAGAATTCTGATAGCGAAGGGGTAATGCTGTTTCCTTCCAAGGGCGTGGTGAGACAGTAGCTCTCAGAGCCTGCTGGGAGGGACTGGAAGCTAGGCTCGCCTTTCTCCAGGGCGATTCGGCAGTTTGGATCCTGAGTTAAAACCATGCGGATCCAGCAACTACCCTAGGCATGCCGTCTTGAGAAACTCCCGGGGCAGCGGCCGTCAGAGCAGAGCACAGATGCACAGGTCCAAAGCCGGTCACCATTGGTGTTGTGTGTTACAGTCACAAACCCGGAACAACCCAACTGCTCAACCCCCAGGGAGGCCCCGTTTTAAATGCACCCGCTGGGGATTCCAAAGAGCCCATTACATGCACACGTACACAGGGGAGACGAGATGGCCTCTCTCAGTCATGCAGAACAATATCTGGCATTAAAAGCTGTTCATTATTCCGGGAAAATAGGCCATGGAGGGAGATGCACGAGTGTGAACCAGGTCCGTAGCAAAGTTTGACAGCTCCACAGCTGAGCAAACGTCAGTTAAAGTCTGCAAGGGACGACCCCTGTGTTCACCGTGGTTGCTGCAAATCTGAGTGCGTAACCCTCCTTTTCTGCTTTTGTTTATCAAATGTCTGGCACTGAGTATTTCTTTAGACATTCCATAAAACACGATTCGAAACAAACTGAGCACAAAAGCAGGCAAAGCGTGCTGAGGAGGGAGCAGGAGTAGACCAGAGGGAAGCTGAGTTAGCCTAGAGGTCGGAGCCCACAGGAGCAGGTCACGGGCAACACGGGGTGGTCTGAGGGAGCCGTGTGGGATGCCCCAGGTGGGGGTGGGGGGTGGAAGGAAGGTGGGTCCAGGACAGACGTTGACACCAAGGCATGGAGGATAATAAGGGTGCGAGCAGATGAGGAGGGTTCTGGGGAGAAGAGAGTCCTCCAAGCCACAGAGGGGGGCAGGCGAGGGGTCCTCACCCATGGTGTGCTCTAGAAACTGAAAAAAGTAGGGGACCACTCAAGCCTCAGAGCGGGGTGGGGGTAGGGTGGGCAGAGCTGAAGAGAGGCGTTGGGGAGAAGCAGGACCAGCTTATTCGGAGCCCCGAGGGTGTGACAGCTGATTGAGATTTTACCCAGAGGAAAAACGGGAGGGCCACGGAAAGACTTTCAGCTGGTGACGGACATCCTCAGACTGGAGCCCAGAATTCCCGCTCTGGTGGCTGTGGGAAGGGAAGCAGGGCCGGCAGGAGGGAAACCAGATGAGAGGGTGCCCGAGGGGAAGGCGGGAAGGAAACCCCAGTGCAGGCGGCGGGGACAGTCTGGTGGCCTGAGCTCAGGAGGGAGGGGGCAGTGTGCTCCCACAGAGCAGAACGCCCTGGAAATAACGCAGGAGTCTGCTCACACTGCCATCTCCGGAAACCTCAGGCTGGAGGCTTAGCCGGTACACGTGTGTTTCTCGTGGTTCTGGAGGCTGGAAGTCCGAGGTCAAGATGTCGGCAGAGTTGGTTCCTCCCGGGGCCTCTCTGCTTGGCTAGCAGACCCCCTCTCCTCTGTGTGTGCGCCCCTGTGTGTGCAAACTGCCTCTTCTCATAAGGTGTCCTGTCAGATTGGAGGACAGCCCACCCTCGGAGCCTCGTTTTGATGTAATCAGCTCTGGAAAGGCCACGTCCCCAAACACAGGCTGTTCTCAGCAGCTGGGTGAGGGCCTCCGTCTATGAATGGGGAGGACAGACACCATCGGCCCCTCGCAAGCAGGATTGGGGCACGAGGAGGATGGCCGCCCCAGCTCCCAATTTTAAGGGGTGTGTGTGTGTGTTTGTGTGTGTGTGTGTGTGTGTGTGTGTGATGGGGTGGGGGGCCGGCAGCCTGATGGATGGAAATGAACAGTCTCCACATGAGAGGGAATCAGGGGGCTTGTCTGTGGTTCAGGTGTGGCTGGGTGGCTGGTAGGTGCTTCTGGATGCAAGCAGGGGAGCCAAGGAGAAGCTCCCAGGGAAGGATTGCGGTCCAGCAGCAGAGCTGGGGGAGGCCAGGGACAGTCCCTCCTGTGGTCCAGCAGTGGAGCCAGGGGAGGCCGGGGACAGTCCCTCCTGCGGTCCAGCAGCGGAGCTGGGGGAGAACCTGGGGACAGTCCCTCCTGCGGTCCAGCAGCAGAGCGGGGGGAGGCTGGGGACGGGAGGCTGGGGACAGTCCCTCCTGTGGTCCAGCAGCAGAGCTGGGGCGGGGGGGAGGCTGGGGACAGTCCCTCCCTCGCCCCTGCCCTGATGCCTCTCCTGCCTCCCACAGCCTGTAACTGTAACCTGCACGCCCGGCGCTGCCGCTTCAACATGGAGCTCTACAAGCTGTCGGGACGCAAGAGCGGGGGCGTCTGCCTGAACTGCCGTCACAACACGGCCGGCCGCCACTGCCACTACTGCAAGGAGGGCTACTACCGCGACATGGGCAAGCCCATCACCCACCGCAAGGCCTGCAAAGGTAGGCAGGGGCGGGGCCTTGGGAACTGGTCCTCCTGTCCTCTCCTCTGTCCTCCCTTGTCCCCATGCACACCGGCCTCGACCGGGACCGCGTCACTCGCTCGCTCGCATGTACGCACGCGTGCACGCACGGCCTCCCTGGTATTTGGGGGTGTAAGCCGGAACAAAGGGGCGGTGGAGACATGGCCCCAAGGAGAAGAAAGGAGAAGGTGTGAGCCCCGCGAGGGTGCAGGGCCCCCGCCCCCGCCCGGCTGCTCCTCCCGGCGCAGGTGTGCTGCATACCAGGGGGCGGGGGTCATGTTCACCGGGCTTACCGGCCGCACAAAGGGCCCTCTTTTACCCCAACCACGCAGATGTATTTCTTTGGATGTGTGTGTGCCCCAGCCCCTCCCCGGGCCTCCCAGCCCTCACACAGACACGCACGGTCACAGTCGCGGCGAGGTCGGCAGCTTCGGGGGCAGGGGAACATTTAATCCACCTGCAAACAGCTTTCCTTCTGAGGACAAAAAAAATTAAAGGGAGACCGGAGACCGAATGTTCTCCCTTTCTGCTGTTGTGTTTTCTCTACCCCCCCCATCCCCCAACAAAAATGAAGCAATGGTCAGATAACTCGGAGCTGTGAAATGCCAGGAACTCAGTGCTATTGTTGGGGGTGGGGGGAGTCTTGGGGGTCCCCCCAGGCCACATTTGTTTTTCAGAATTCCCGGAACCGGGGCTGCCCCCGTCTAAAATTTGAGGCCCTAGAGCCAGGGCTTTGCCGTGAGCCTAGGTTCCCAAGAAGAGATTTCTCTCCGAGGGCTCTTGGGGCCACCATCTGGCATGATCGGGGTCCTGAGACAGACCCGTGTAGACCCTGACATGAGCAAGACCCAAGCCACATCAGGGTCAGGCTCAGAGGAGCAGCTGCTTTCCAGAAACCCGTCTTATCCGGAAATCTGCCAGATGTCAGACACGCGTGCGGACCACCGGCTCCATGGCTCGGCCCAGTGCAGAATGACAACATGGGGCTTCTTTTAGAGGAATTCCTAAGAGGTTTTTAAAATGGCAGCAAGCAGAGCCTCCACCAACCGAGGCCCACGAAGCCGGCCCCACTGGTGGAGAATTCTTTCGGCCAAAACGAAACAGGTTCCCAGCCTGTCTCCTCCAGGAGGAGCCCCTTCGGTTCCACAGGAGCAGGGATGAATCGTGGGTGGCTCCCAGGACACAAGCGAGCTGTCCTCCCAGATCTGTGGACCTAAGGCTGCCTCTGGTGGTTGTCAAGAGAAGTTTACCCCTAAAGGTGGCCCGGCTATTTCCACATCCCAAACCAGCGAATCAAGGTGCGACTCCCCTGGGGCGACTTGGAGCAGGGACCCACCGAGAAGGTGGCTGGAAGCAAGGGGCCCAGAAATGCCTCCGGTGGCCAGAAGGCACGAGCAGGAGCATGACCGGGGAGAGAGAATGGGCTTTGGGTTTTCAGAGACCAGACTTGGAAGGTGTCCAGGCCCTTCTTTGCCTGTCGTCTTCCCTTTACAGAAGAAATCAAAGGACTTGTAAACAACGGTCGCACATAGATTTCTTGGGGATTTGGCAGGGGAATTTTAATCAGCAGGGGCCACTCAGGTAGGCAGCCCTATGCCCGTGGTTGGGGGGGTCTCAGCTGTGCGCGGAAGGGCAGCGGTCATGTGCCCTCAGAGCAGGAAAGACCTGTCCCCTGGAGAGGCAGGAGGGAGCGGGCCTCGGTCATCTTACCATTCACCTCCCGTCCCTCTCCTCTGTTGCATGCAGGGAGGCGGGAGAGCCACCTGCGGCCTCTCCTGGCTCAGGCTGAGATGTCAGGAGGCCACCAGGTCCTAGGAACCTGCAGGTTGTCCTCTGGGGCTCTGCCACTCTGCTGGTTCCCAGGCGGGACAGGTGCAGGCAGACGAGGGTGTGGTCCTGTCTTCTTATTTCAAACGCTGTGGCTGGCCTCGGTGGCTCTGTGGTCCCTCGGAGCCTTGGACAGCAGCTGCCCTCAGCCGTAGTGGGACCTTGAGTGAAGAGGCTGAGGGAAGAGAGAAATATGAGGGCAGATTCTATGCGGAAGGATGCCTGCGTGTCTTGCCAGGGAAATGTGGCAGACGGGGGCGGGACTCCACGGTACCTCCTGCCTGGCGGGGGAAAGGCAGTGCTTCGAGGATCCTGCCATCTGATGGGCAAGGAAAGACACTACCCAAACGATCTATTCTCTGATTAGTGAACAGGAAGAATGTGACCTGAAAGGTCCTGCCGGTTCTTTGGTGTGGAAAGTTCTAGATCTTTCCCCTTTGCTCTCTTTTGTCTGGTGTCAGCCCCTCAGGACCAGTGGGAGCTCTGAATCTCCTGTTCCCCATGGGACACTCCCCACCCAATGGAGACCCTACATCTGGGGGCGTCGTCGGGGGGAGACCAGCTGCGGGAGGTCAGACCCCAGCAGAGAGGGCTGTGTACCCTTGAGGTCTTCAGACGGCAGTCGCTGTCCCCACCCTACCCTCATGGAGTCCATCCGTCTGTCCATTTGTCTGTCCTGTCCAGTGTCTTGTCTTCCCAGGGTGGGTTGGTTTGAGGAAACGGCTCCTTTGCTGGAAGCATTTGGCCCTGGGATGATGAGCTACACGCAGCGGTGGCATGCGGCCCCGGCCTCCTGGGGCTGACCTCGGGGAGCCCCACTGTAGCCTCCGGTTGTGTACTTGCTTGCTCTGTCGCGGGGACATTTCACTGGGGAACTGGGACAACTGGCAGAGGCCGTTGACCTGAGGCTGCTTGGGAATGGCCACTGGGGCCCTCTTTACCCTTGACTTCCCAGGGCCCGGGAGGAGCCCCAGGCAGGGGGCTGAGGCCACCCAGGCCCTGCTGGCGATTGGCTGGGCTCCCGACCTTGCTCACTTTAGAGCAGGGGTGGACCCAGACAAGAGCAGCTTGGAGCAAGGGCATCAGATTCCAAACGTTACTGGGCGGTCCCCCCATTGGGGAAGTTTCATAGCAACAGATTCGTTGGGTTCTTTCTCCCCTCCTCTGGTTTAGAACCAAACCCGGGCTGGCCAGGCTGGTGCATACAAAGGGCCATAATAAACATGCCCGGGGACACAGGCGGCTGCAGTCCGCCGCTATTCAGCGTAATTTCACACCACTGGGAAGGCCTCATTATGGCGAGGTCTGTTGTCCCATACAAAGTCAGAGGAGATGAATCTCTCCCTTTTCTCTGCAGAATGGTTTGTGAAGGATACTCATCCTGGAATCTGTCAAAAGATAGGCGGTTTTGTTTACCATTTGTCTTCTTTATGGACTCAGGGGCTCTTTTCTCTTTAGAGCCGGCAAAGAAGACACTGCCGTTGGACCGTTCCAGCCGTGTCTCTATTTGAACGATATTAATTTATCATCTTCCCAAACCATCTGTGATGGATAAAGACATTCCGGGAGTCTCCCGTGAACCGAATCGCAATGAGAGTTAAGAAACGAACCATTGCATCTCGCAAACGCCCCCGCACAAAGGGCCTGCGTCCCATTTCTCTGGGCTAGTTTCCCTCACAGGTTGCTCTGTCTTGCCTGCCTCCACCCTTCAAGGCCACAGTCAGTGTGGCTGAAATGCAGATCGCCATGAAAGTATCCGGGTCCTTGGGTGGTCGCGGGGCCCAGGCATGCACCAGTCCTCGCCGTCTTGGCCAGTGCACACCTGAGACTCCCAGCCACCCCCCGTTTTTAATGGCAGCTCTGCCAGAGCTCGGGGAGGAACTGGACACCTGGGCCCGCCCCCTCAGCCCCCCGACCACTGTGTGGGTCTCCCTAAGTCTTTCTCAGCCTTGATTCTCGACCTTCACTAAAGGGCATCCTTGGTATAGTCTAACTTGTTGTCGCCCTTGGCTGCGCTTTGGAATTGCCCGGAGATTTGAAAATCTGACACCCCCCCCAGAGATCCCGTCTTAATGAATGAGTCCAGATGAGACCTGAGCACTGGGGAATAAGGAGTGAGACCCGGGAGCTGTGCGGGTGATGCTCACGGGGGAGGGGCGGGATTTATTATCAATGAATTTAAATGTTTTTTTAAGGCTCTCTTGATGAAAATTGAGTGGGACGGGATTGTTTAACATTTTTTAAAAAATTAAATTTTGCGAGGCAAGGCTGGGAGCTTAGCTGGTGTATCCTGATGATTTAGTGTCCGGAGGGAGGCATGGGATTGGATGGTTATCGCAGCTAGATGGGATGTGTGTGTGTGTGTGTGTGTGTGTGCACGTGCGCACTTGCACGCGCATGATGTGTGCAAACCAGATTGGATCATTTGAGGGTTTATTATATTTTTTTATTTTCAAAGTCCCTTTTAATTCTAACGTTTTTTAAAATTTAAATTCAATTAGTCAACATATAGTATATCATTAGTTTCAGATGCAGAGTTTAGTAATATGTCAGTTGCGTGTAAACCCCAGTGTTTTATGGGGGGGCTCAGTCGGTTAAGCATCTGCCTTCGGCTCAGATCATGATCCCAGGGTCCTGGGATGGAGCCCCTCATCTAGCTCCCTGCTCCACGGGGAGCCTGCTTCTTCTTCTTTCTCTACTTGGCGCTCCCCCTGCTTGTGCTCACTCTCTTTCTCTCTGTCAAATAGATAAATAAAACCTTAAAAAAAAAACCTGGTGCTCATCCCATCATGTGCCCTCCTTAATGCCCATCACCCTGCTACCCCATCTCCCCACTCCCCTCCCCTCCAGCAACCGTCAGTTTTGTTTCATGGTTTGTCTCTGTCTCATTTGAGGGGTTAATGACATCACAGCTAGGAAGCTGGGACTCCTTCCTGACTCTCAGGTGATGTCCAGGCAGCCCACAAAAACCTAAAAACCTCAGGAATGCCCTTTGTTCTATGGGTCCTGTGTGACATTTATTTCTGGTCTGTAACCCTGTTGGGAGCACAGGGAAAAGCGTGGTCCTCTTAGGGAGGAAGGAGCTCAGTGGCCACAGCAGCTCCCAGATTAGAGGACAGAGCCCATGACCTGAGGAGTGGGCTCTGTTAGGGG